AATGTCCTCCATGCTATTCCTTATGTTCCACAAATAAGTGAAACCATATGATAATTGACTTTCTCTGCTTGACTTATTTCATTTAGCATAATCTCCTCCAGTCCCATCCATGTTGATGTAAAAGTTGGGTATTCATCCTTTCTGATGGCTGAGTAATATTCCATTGTATGTTATGGAAGGATAGACCTTACTTCTTTAAAGAAGACCACGTCTTCTTTATCCGATTTTTTTATCATAAAAAACTTCAGATACGCACAGAGGTACAACATTTTATTTATCGTTTATCCATCATTATGTGTCCATTACCTGGCTTCAGTAGTGACAATGTTTTTGCCACATTTGCTTTACTGTCCTTTTTTACTGTCTTGTTTTTTTTTTTCTGAAGCACTTGAAGACCATCTTGGACCCATCTCGTGTCACTTCATTCCTGCAAACTTCACTATATATCTCTGAGAACACTGACATTTGTTTACATGACTCCAGTGGTGTTAGTACACCTAATAACACAGTTGGCCACATTTCTTACACAACGTGATGACCCCATCCCTAATCATGTTTCCTCACTTGTCTCCTTTCAGCAGCTGGTTTATTGGAATCAGATTCCAAAGAAGGTCCTCATGTTACATTTGATTGTTAGGTCTTGAGTCTCTTTAATCTAGAGTAGCTTTCTCCCACGACTCCCCACTTCCAGGCCATTTACTTGTTGGAACAATGGGCAGCTGTCCTGTGGACTGGCTCACACTTTGATATTTTCTACTTGCTTCCTGGCATTTCTTCTATCCCTCCTTGTTCCTTTAAATAAAAATGATGTCTAGAGTCTTGGTTAGGTCCTGGTTCAATCTTTTGGGAAGAATATTTCAGAGTGATGCTGTGTGTTTCCTATCGCATCATATTGGGGGGGCACACAGGTCTGGTTGCTCCTCTTTTGAGTAATGCTAAGATCGGTGAGTGGGTTTAGGTGGTAACAGCCTGAACCTTGCAATGTAAAATTCCTGGTCATGGTCAGGTATTTCGTTAGGGTTACACATTTACTACCTGGCTTGTTGCATTACCTCAAAAGATAGTTCATAGAGGGGCATCTGGGTGGCCCAGTCATTTAAGCATCTGACTCTTGATTTCAGATCAGGTTGTGATCTCAGGGTGGTGAGATTGAGCCCCGCGTGGGGCTCCACACTGAACAGGGTGTCTGCTTGAGATTCTCTCTCTCCCTCTGCCCCTCCCCACCACGCTCTCTCTCTAAAATAAATAAATAAATCTTAAAAAAAAAAACCTCATAGAGGAAAGATAGGGTGGAGGCATGGTTCTTGCCTTTTAATTGCCAGTTTTCAGGGTAAAAAGTTGGTGGCCTAGTTACTTCCAGTTTTATTCAGTGCCTTGAATCTCTGTCTCTCTGCCTCTGTCTGTCCCTCTCTCTCTCTCTCCCTCCTCCCCTCTACCCCCATTCCTCACCCCTGAAATCATTGTGAACTCCTGAGGTTTTGTATATTTAATTTGTTTCAGTAGATTGCGTTCATTATTCCTTTTGATGCTCAGTTGTCCCATTTTTGGCCAATGGGAGTCTCTTCATAAATTGGCATTGGTGTTCCTTTGGCATGACTCTCTTGCTTTCTGGAATAACGAGATGTCCCAGCTCATTTTGTAAAATGCTGCTCTGGCCTTGAAATCAGCTGCTCCTTCAAGGATCCCTGTGTCTTTTGGTGGAGAAGGGTGTTTTGCTGTTGGTTGTCATTGCTTCTAGGTCTTTTTGGTGGATAGAGCTAAAAAAAGACATGAATTCAAACTGATAAGTCAAATTTTATGTTGGATTAGTTTTTTCCTTAACTTTGATTTTATGTTTGTGTTTGGTTTATCTTACATTGAATCTTGGTTCCTAACAATGTTAACAAAATTACTTGTTTGCTTAATCTTTATAAACACACCAGTGTTGTTATAACTAACAATTAAACTATTGAAAGACGTTTGATTTCTTTGCAGCTCTTTTAAAAAAAGATTTTATTTATTTATTTGAGAGAGCAAGCGAGCACAAGCAGGGGGAGCGGCAGAGGGAGAAGCAGACTCCCCGGCTGAGCAGGGAGCCCGATGTGGGACTCAGTCCCAGGACCCTGAGATCACGACCTGAGCCAAAGGTGGATGCTTAACTGACTGAGCAACCCAGGCGCCCCTCTTTGCAGCTTTTTTGTCAACAGGATATGTCCCGCTAAGTGTGTACAGTCAGTATGTGGTACTCAGAAGCCCTTTGTGGATGTTACCAACTTGAAAATTAAGGTTCATTCTCTTCATTTGTTTTAAAATTTGAGGTATTATTTTCCTTTTTTTTATTTATTTTTGGAATATATATATATATATATAAACACATTTCCAAAGCCAAAACTACATAACAGGGTACATTTGGAAAAGTTTTATTTCATCTTTGCTCCTTCTTCCCCCATAGATAATTGCTTACATTCGGTTTTGTGTTACCCTCCGTATTAATTTGTGCATGTTATGTGAATAAATACATACATTCGCATTCACATCCCTGCTTTGCACAAAAGTTAGCATAGTATATATGCTGTTCTGTGTCTTGCTTTGTTTACTAAGCAGTATGACGGGGGTTTGCTCCATATCAATGCATAGTGTTCTTCCTCATTCCTTTTTTTTGAGGCACTAAGCAGCATTTTATTGTGAGGAAGGACTAGAGTTGATTGGACCAGTCCCCTGTGGATAGGCCTTTGGTTGTCTGCAGTTTTGCCATGACAGGTACTGCCTCAGTGAATAACCTAGGACATCTGTCACTTCCTGTTTCTGCCATTATGTCTTGGGATGGATCTCTAGAAATGTTGTTATAGAACAAAGAATAAATGCATATATTTTTCCAGCCACTGACTATATATTTGCTGAAATTTGGGTATCTAGTTCAATTTCATAATCCAGACACTTCCATTTAAAAGAGTCCAATTTATTTTGCCGCTTTAATGTTGAAGAAATCTCATTTGCCCATTACCCTGTCTTTGTATGGAACATACCATTGAAAGTGTTACTTTAAGAAGATCTGTTGATTTCATTTAATTAATTAATTGAAGTATCAGTTACTGATTATAGAATACAAACGATGAAAAGATTGCTAAAACATAGTCCTAAATCTCACAAGAGTTCAAATAAATATTTTGGGATTTATTTTATTTCCTGATCATTCTATTTGTTGTGTATTTTGTCCCCTGTTGGTTGTGAAAAGACTGGTAATAAGGCACTGGGAAGTGTGCCTCTATACCAGAATGAAGTGGGATATGTCTGTTGGAGGAGAGAGGTTGTCATAAAATATTCTATAGATGCATTCTACAAATATTCATTGAACACCTCCCCTTCACTGGAACGTAACAGTGAGCAACACACAGAGTTCTTTCCTCATGGCATTTACATCCTACTACAAGAGATGTATCAAAAACCAAGGAACAATAAGATAATTACAAGTTCTATGTGCTTTGAAGGAATCAAACAAGAGATTAAAATGGAGTCTCAGCCAGGGACTTTCTCAGGTGAGGGAGGAGGAGCAGCTGACACAGCAAGCCACGTGCCAGGTGGGGGAGAAAGCATTTCAGGCACTAGCTTGTGGTGTTGAGGACTGAAGCAGAAGGCACAGCAAGGTATGGGGGAGAGTGGAGGCAAGGTCATGCAGGGCCTTAGGTTTTCACTGAAGGGTTTGGATTTTATTTTAAGTATATCAGGAAACCATTGAGGACAATTAAGCAAGGGAATGATGTTCAATACCGGTATATCGTAGATTTATTCTTTCTATAGACCGGAAGGCTACTCAAATGGGATGTTTTAGTTCTAAAGCAAACACTGTCCTTTCTGAAGTTCAAAGTGGAGATAGTTTTCCTTCTTGCTCCTTTATGCAGGACAGCTGCTCCTCATGTTCAGGTCTTCTGAGGATTTCTTTTCTTTTTCAATAATACTCCCTTGACGTTGTTTAAATAATTACAGTAAGTGGTTGTAAGTGGATTATATACTTGGGCTATGAACAGGAACATGATATCTACAAATTCTCTTCTTCAGACCTGCAAATCCAAGAGATACATCTCTCTGGACGATAAGAGAGCTTCTTCCTCAAGATCAAAAAAGGTCTGTATTGCTGCTGTCATGTTTATATGAAATTAATTATGGAACCAATAGCAATTTTTGGAAAAGAGGCATTTTCAGTATATTTACTTATGTTTCTGTTACAGGAGACTGGAGTGAGACCCATGTAGGGAATCCCCAGAAGGAAGGATTGGCACACGTGGAACCCGAGGAGCTTGCTTCCTGGGAAGGCTCCTGTCTGATGTGTAGGAGGCAGAATGTCCTACTGACTCTTCAAGGGGAGGCTACAGGGGACCGAGACCCTCCACCACAGGGGACACTGTGCAGTCCTTTTTCTAGAAGTGGGAAGTACGAGATTGTTCTACAAGAGGAAGATTCCAGGGGCTTACAAACGCAGAGGTTTGCACCTTGGGAGCCCCTTGGAATGTTGACAACTCAGGATCTAAAGGAAAGTTCTGTGTTCATGAGTTACAGAATTCATGTGGAAGTAAATGTCACTTTATGATCAATAATAATACTGAGTGAGGAGCACTATGCAGGAAGAAATCTTCCACAGAAATACAGGCAGGGAGAAGCTTAGGCCAACCTTAGACCTACCTAATAGAGCAAGCCTGAGATAAACTGCCAGAATGGCCAAATAAGAGACTCTATGAAATAGCAATCCTGTAACTATAGTAGTCGTACAGAAATTTTTTCCTCTAAATCACGATACCAAATAGGAAAAATGATCTACAAGTGCCCCATGTGTAGGGAATTTTTCTCTGAGAGAGCAGATCTTTTTATGCATCAGAAAATTCACACTGCTGAGAAACCCCATAAATGTGACAAGTGTGACAAGGGTTTCTTTCATATATCAGAACTTCATATTCATTGGAGAGACCACACAGGAGAGAAGGTCTATAAATGTGATGATTGTGGTAAGGATTTTAGTACTACAACAAAACTTAACAGACATAAGAAAATCCACACAGTGGAGAAGCCCTATAAATGCTATGAGTGTGGCAAAGCCTTCAATTGGAGCTCACATCTTCAAATTCACATGAGAGTTCATACAGGTGAGAAACCCTATGTCTGTAGTGAGTGTGGAAGGGGCTTTAGTAATAGTTCAAACCTTTGCATGCATCAGAGAGTCCACACCGGAGAGAAACCCTTTAAATGTGAAGAGTGTGGGAAGGCCTTCAGGCACACTTCTAGCCTCTGCATGCATCAGAGAGTTCACACAGGAGAGAAACCCTATAAATGTTATGAGTGTGGGAAGGCCTT